ATTGTTGCCATTGGCTGAGGTACTTTGAATACGGATGTAATCGTATGCACGCTCACCCCCGCACATTCTGCGTTACGCAAGTGAAGACTTGCAAATAATAACACCGGCAACATAGCACAATGTTGTAGCTGCTAGTGGACCGCAATGCGCATTCATCAGATTCGCGATCCAGTTCGCTAATCAGGTTCATCACATCTCGCTTCGTCTATGTGCGGTAAAACATGTTGCTGCGTCGGTTACAGTGTTGGTGGTGTTGTGCGGATAGCCGATCTCAGAACTCTGACCGCAGCATCTGCACATGGGGATATTATCGCGCGATCTGATTGGGTTGATCCCGCTCATTCGCTTGTTCACTAAAACTGAATCGATGCAATATCAGTGTCCGTGCTTGACCAGAGGTCCATGTGCCATGTATTGCACGCCATAAGTGATCCGATATCATTCGTTGATCAGACACGAAATCTTGTGCCACCACGACATCGGTTGTTACCATGGACGTCTTGGTAATGCAATGCAATTTTGATAAATGTGTGATCATGTAGCGCTTTATAACTCGTTCTGTCGTAATAAACGGATTTCGAATAAAAGTCAGTTACACTCTGTACGTAAGAAATTTGCCCCTGACCATCTTTTAAGCAAAACTGTCGCGTGCACAAAAACAAAAGTCAGATGAATTCATAAACGGTCCAAAACACAAAGATAGAAGGGATGGGCCTACGGTGACGTCGAACTTCTAGCAGCTACCTTTCGTTTTGCCAGTCAGTCACGAATGGTGTCCAGGATAGATCAGCAAACGCTCGGTGCTTGCAACAGTGATGTAGCTCTCGCAACTCCTGCTTCACGGACAGCAGCATCACCAGCAATAGCTCAAGAAGCAGTGATATCACCAGCAGTAGGCGGTACACGGAAACGGCTACTGTCTGTAGGTACCTGAGCTCACAGAGTCGCCATGGAGTTCCTGACGTCGTCTGATCGACATCGTGCATATGGCTCTTGCGCTAGCGAGTTTCTGGTCTTGTCGAGGCTGTGATCGTGTGCCCGTGCGTGACAATATCTACGCGACCAGAACTGCAAAGAGTCCTGCGCTACGGATGTGGAAGAGCAGGTACTACCTGATACAGCCGAGCAAACGCGTTGGCGCTTACAAGCACAACATCAACATGACACTCGTTGTTTGCTAGCTGCCGTTGCTAGTTACGCATTGCTGAGCAGGGCAAAGACCCCTGTGACGGTGCATAAAAGGCCATCAATGGCCGTTGCACTCATCAATGAGTAGTAGCAAGAACGATAAAGCAAGATGGCACTAGAGAGACTGCCTGGACATGAACGACGAAGTAGCAGTAGCAAGGCAACATCGACATGTATGCCTCCTACTTCCTCCGCAGTACTCAAAAACACGGAAGCGTATGGAGTGAGTGGTCATCTCCTCGCTCGGCAACACAGAGAGCTCGCTGAGTGACTATCATCTGCTCATCATCAGCACATTCATGTCACGGCCATGCCGTCGACCGCACATTGTTGTTGTCATTGTTGCATATGCAATATCAGCCGTCGTCCCTCTTTTCTCTCGTCCCTCTCATTAACACACCAACACCGCAATCGAGTTGCCTCTTCACACAACAATCATGACGATCTGTGTGGCGATTACACCGCAACCAGCACAACATGTCCATAGCACAGCACGTTCATAGCCGACAATTCTAACCATCCGAAATGGGCATGCAAGTTCGACCTGTGATTGAATTCCCTTGTCGAAACAACATGCATCCAAGCGAGCTCGACGCCTCTCCCTCTATCTTTTGCTTGAAGCAGTAAAGAGCTGGTGTCTACAGTGCTCCCTCCAATAGGTTACCCTCCATCAAGTTACAACGTCCGTTACGTTCTCCAGATCGGGCGATCACCGATCGCGTTGCTCGATGCCAAGTTGTAAGTTCGAAGCTAAGACAGAACGGACAATACGCTCTTTTGTAGCGACTCTTCTTACAGTTGGGCTCTTCGTTGCAGTATACGGTACGCAAAAACACCATTGTCTATGATAGTATGTTTGGTCGAGGGCCAAACGTACTTGTACCACAAGTCGATCGAGGGTACAGTGGGTGCTGTGAGCGTGGCGAGTTCGGGGTCCGGAAGACTCGATAAGTAGCGCGGTGTTGACGTATGGGATACATCAAGTGGGGGCCAGGCACCACACATGACTTTGATCTTCTCGGTCTTGGGGAACGATTGTGACACATGCATGCACACATCTCCGTTTGGTCCGCTGCTTTCACGTCCTGTTCTGTCTTTCGAGTCCTTTGAATCTTTTTGTCTGCGGTCAACTTCGGGCGAGCGCGCTCGTTCTATCCGATGTGATTGAGTAGCTTCGAAGTTACATGGGACCTCGAAGACGCACAGATTGTGTGGCTCCGAAATTGAATGGGATCTCGAAGATGCACATGATTGATCTAACCTGCCAGATGCGCACTTTTGCTTTATCCGATGTGATTGAGTAGCTTCGAAATCTACACGGGGTGCTAAGCATACAGCTTTTGCAGATTAGCTACTGGATCCTTCTCCAGATCACTCGCCTTGCCTCCTCATCTCTTTCAATACATGCTGTCCCGCTCTATGTCGATGGCGGTTGGATATACAGAAGACAAAGCAACACGTGTGTAAGGGTGAAGCAATTGACACTGGTTGTGGTCTAGATCTCGGTCCATACAGATACATGTCACCTCCACAATGGCAGCAGATTGTTAAACGTGGGGATGGGTTGCCAACAATAAGATGCTCGTCACGATCAATCGCATTCTGGAGATGGTAGCTGTGGTAACGTCGCTGACATGCGAGACGATGCCAGCACCTGTCGACTAGATCTTGGCTATCGTGTGCGGTGGAAGAAGATGGATGACATTGACATTGATGAGCCATCCGCGGTACGCGACGGAGCCTTATGGGTCACTGAAACGGAGACAGTGTCCATCCGCTGCAAAAGTACAACTTCCACAAAACTTATCTCACATGGATTACCCCACACGGAATAAAGTAAGGGACGCGTGTCCTACCTGACGGCACATGCCAAACCGATGCAGGAGTCTGCAGATACAGCACGTTGTCAGCAGTGAGCAGATCGGTGACATCGGAACTGGACAATGTCTTGTTCAATGCGTTCTTTGGCTACGTGGAGTGGAGATGTTGTTTCTGTTTGCAATGGCTCGTTCTCAATGAGGCAAATTGGCTCGTCTATGGACATTACCGCAAACATCCGATACGTCAGAAAAGCTTGACTCGGATACAGAAATGCCTGCCCATTGACCCCGCAACTTGCTCGAAACGGGCTCTACAATTGCTCTCTATCTTATCTTGTCGCCTCCAGGTCGTCCAGAAAATATGCGCTCTTTCATGTCGGCATCGTTTTGTAAAAGGAAAATTGGTATCGCTCGCATCGATCCGCAGCAAAGTGTTAACGAGACATATTTCAGTGCAGAAACCGCAGCGTGATTGCTCTACTAAGCTTCACCGTGTTTGCTCTACAACAGACTGTTCAGCCTTTGTGCATGGTCATGTATCTGATCATTGTGCACAGCGGTGGACAAAGCTTCGCAAAATTTCGACACTTAATTGCACACATCCCATGAAGATAAACTTTGCGTGTCGTTTCATGTCGTTCCCATGCGTTACCCTGATGACATTGTATCGCGCTGAACGAGACTTTCTTCCATATTGTAATTGCCCTCATTTCGCCTTGTACTCAACGAGCATACCACCACACCGGCACCAATACAGGTATTGTATGTTTTGTACCTGTCATCAAATTACGGCTTGTGCCGGGTGACAACGTGGAAAGAGACATTGCATCGATCACGACAATGTTGACAACCATCACATCGGTGTCACATGCAGTTCCTTCTCTATCCTTTAGGAACACAGCTCTTTCTTGTTTACGTGCGCGCTTCGCCCACCTCATCCAGCGTAAGCGAGGCAGCGTTTGCCATCTGAATATACAATGGTGTCAGTTCAGGCGTCCCTTGCATGGGATGCAAGCGAGCCACACGATCGTATCGCGGTCGTCACCTAAACTTAGGTGAGCCGAGTCACACCGAAACGTTCGTCAGTGTCGGTGGAAGGTACTGTACTCACGCTGAGCGACCGGGTCAAAGGCTAATTTCTTCATTAGTTGACATCGACTACAAGACATATCTCAACATGCAACGAACTAAAAGAAGCTATGCAGCGAGCGAGTGGAAAAAGATGATGGATGCGTTCGACGAAGTTGCGCGGTATCTATCCCAAACTACCAATCTAGCGTTATGTAGTTCCCGTCCGTTGGCCGACTACGTTGCCTAGTTGCGTGCTTCTTACATCGGGTAGACGCACGCAAGGTTTTGGTTGCTGTCACGATCACCATTATCAGTCCGGGTACTGCCACAGCCAGATCATCAGACTGACAATACGCGCTGGGGCACCCTCCTTGCACTAGCTCGGACCGACTCACATCAACATGACGAAAGGTCATGTCTACGATGATGCACACTTGCCGCCACTTGTGTAGCTTCCACACAAGTGGCGGCAGGTGCGTATCATTGCAGGAAGAACAAAGCAAAATGGTCACAAGAACCTGCGCATGGACAGTGGCGCATGAACTGCAGTTTCTTCAGTGCATGCATGCATGCATACATGCATACATTGCTCGCATGGCATGGACCTTGCATCGCTCTTACTCTCCAGCAACTTCATCGACGGTACAATCCGCGACACCGATTGCATCTGCAGAGTGGAAGCGGGAGCATCGTCGGACACAAACAATCCGACGCGCTGTTTCCAGATTTGAAGAAGAGCCCTTTGTCGAATCGGGAATACCCTACAAAGGTGAAGGAACCCACTGCTGTCTAATCGTCGGGATGGACATCGTCGATCATGTATTTTTTTGGCTTGGAAAATGAATCCGGTCGTTTAAGGCGAAATCGCTATGTTGCTCGACGTGGCAACAACTCACTCTTGAATTCCCTCTGGTCACTCAAATGAGTGGTAAGCGGCTTTTTGCTCGGGACGTGTGCCTACAGTCGTTCCTTACTTGTTCGTTCCGTGTTGTTGTACGACAGGCACCCACGAGGTGATCGAGCTGATCAGCAGTAGCGACGAGGCATCGTCAGGGCTGCATCGAGCGTCTCGGAGAAAGCAGAGCAAGAAGGCGCAACTTAAGTCTGGACAGCACCATCCACCTCTCTCCCCAGATGTTGCTAAGGTCGTCACTGACGTGAGGAGAAAGAGAGGGAGTTCACGGAAGAGCGAGACTAGTCGAGAGAGCCAGGAGAGTGAGTCGAGAGCTGAGCAGCCTAAGCAGTTGCGCCGTCCAGCACAGGCGGCAAAAGCTAAAGTTGCACTATCTCCAACAGCTAAATCTGCTTCTACAAGACCGACGCGCAAACCTCGTGGAGAGATGCAAATCATCACGGAAGCAATGAGTTTTTACGAGTTGCAGGCTCAGGAGCAGATGATGGCGCGCTTTCAGGCGCAGAATCGCAAAAGAGCTCCGGTAATACCGAGAAAGCCAGGCACTTCAGTGGCAGCTGAGCAAGCGGCTGGCAAATGTGGAAACCTGACAAGAAACAATGGTACCAGTGCATCACAGACAAGGACAGCAAGTAAACAGAGTCACATACGTAAAAGTGGAAAGTCAGTCGTTTCAGTGCGCGTGGCTGATGGACGATACGAAAGTGAGTACGACGAGGAAGAAGAGGGTGAGCAGACTGAAACAGGTTTTACTACCGAAAAACTGACGCAGAAAAAGAAGCATCTACGGAAGCAGAAGTGGAAATCGAAAAGTGCAGCTTCACGGGTGTCGGAAAGTGGTCGTAAAGTCGTGGGCAGTGATATACCAGTATCTCGAAAAAGTAGCGACTGTCAAAAGCCAGGTCGCATGCAACAAAAAGTCCAGAAAATGGCTTTTGCAAAGCGGTCTCAACAGCAAAAGACTGTTGGGCGCAGTAAGAAACAGCGAGTTGTTTCGGTACCACGACAAAGTAGCTCAAGTCGGGCGGGTGAACAGGAGAGCGAGCGGGAGAGTGATGAGCTTAGTGGTAGCAGAAGTGAAGACGGCGATGGTGGGATGTCCATGCACTGGCGTCAGGGAAAGGTGTCTACGCATTCAAAGGCCGCTGTTAATTTGTCCACACCAAGGTATCCGAAAAAGCGGTCGCACGAAAACATACCATCTGCATCACAACCGCGATACTTTTGTGCTTCTCAAGCTTCTGAAAGGGATGTTCATAATGACGGGAGTGAAACAGAGTCTATTGTGGAGATATCGTCCTGGGAGTCGCAAGAACAGGAGAAGATGTTTCCATCACTACATCCTCAAAAGAAAGGTAGTTCGTCTGATACCTCGTCCAAAGAGCAGAAAGCAAAGCAGAATACATACGGTCTGTCCAGCGCGACCAAGTCGAGTGGTAGCAGTCGTCGTGCTCGAATGGGGGTGTATCAGAAGAAAACGCCCAGCTTCTCACCGTCGTCGTCTTCTGTCTCCCCACCACCCTCCCAGAAGGGATTTTCGGCACCAGGTGCACGATTCGCAACTGATGCAGAGTGCACAGCAACACCTGTGGAGATTCCGATGACTCCAGTGGTACATTCGACAACCTGGCGACGTCTAGTTGTCGGGAAAGCACCTCCTAATATCATAACTGGTGTATCGGCACGTCCGTATTCCTACGGTACATATCGCACTGGTCCATACTCGTTTACTGCAACAAGCTAACGAATGTTGCTCAATAGGATTTGACAGACCGCTTTGGACATTTGACACAACAGGAGTGCTTAGAGAAAAATGCAAATTCAGGGCAGTGGATTCGGACAGTGCCACGGCAGAGGCCAGCATTCAGATTCAGGTGAGCAAGCTGCTGACAACGACTATGTGCGGGACGTCCAAAGGTGTTCGTTCTTATGTTGTGCTGTATTTTCGTAGCCGCCAAGTCAATCCGAAGTCAATGAGCGGGTGCGGTGCTTGGTGGACCAGGAGCTGCCGCGCATAAAAAAGTGTCATGTTCAGAGAGTGCGTCACACTTTAAAAAGTACGCGACAGCAACTAGCCGCATATTTCAAGGGTCATCGAGAGCTGCGTAGTGAAAGGTATAGACGATTGCAGTGGTTGGAGATTGCGAGTAAGTACTTCCGCGCTCGCCCGGATTCATTTCCTTCTAGCTAAGCTTGGTCAAACTAATTACGATGCTGACATTCGGTTATACGCGTGCTTTTGCTGAGCAGACCACCGGTCCCGATCAGATATTTCTGCGGGTGAGCGTGTTACGGCCAAACGCTTGCTGCGAAACTCTGCGCATATAGGTCTGCCGTACAATTGCTTGGTCGGCACCGTGCGCTTTTTCGTGCACCAGGACAAGCCGCCTTTTGAATCTGTGGTCTATCCCGAAACTGTCATCTATCTACCCAACGATATCACTGCCATTTGCCAGTCATTTGCCATGATTGGCATAAACAAGAATGCGTTTGTTGAGGATGATCCAATCTTGCGGTATGTGCCCTACCTAGGCGATGGACAAGAACTGGTCGTTGACAATGATCTCTACTCGGGAACAACTATGAGTAGAGAGCGTCAAATTGCGGTGTTTGGGGATAACGGCGAGCTCAAAGTTCTCAAACCTAGCGCACGGGACAATGAAATACAGGAGTACCTCTTGCGGGTTATTGTTGGAACATGTGGAGCGTCTGAGCGCGTGTTTCTGGCACTTGAAGAAGAAGTAGGCTTTAGCCAGCCGCGTATTGACTACTGCGAAATGAAAGAACAAGCTAAAGCGGCAGAACTTACTGCTAAGCGTGTGGCAAAGGCAAAGAAGCTCGTTGCTTTGTATCAGAAATCATTGATAGACGGACAAAGTGGACATTCTGTCGGCTCGGAGAATGCTTCGAAAGCCCTATTCAATCTGGCCCAACATTGCTGGTTTTTGCGAAGTACATCAGAGCACCAATCATTTGGTGTCAGACTGCAGCCGCCGTTGTCCGTTTTCGAGTCGAGTTATGCAGATACCCCGGAGGCGCATGGCATACGCGACCGCGCTAGCTATGAAGGTCTGGTGGAGTGGCACCGGGATTTGTTCTGCCGACGTTGCTATTCGTACGACTGTTCTGAGCACGGCATTCAGAACCCCCAACGAAGCTCTCGTGCCGATCCGATCTATCCGATGATAACTGCACCAGGCGTTGTACTTTCCATGGAAGAAGCAATGAGTCGAGAAGGTGGTATAGGCGCTAAAGAATGCAGTTCGAATGTTGTGACGCTGTCTGTCGAAAGTGAGGAAGCCATACAAATAGCAGGTGGGGAGTCGTCTTCATCTTTGGACGACGAAGCGCAGAAGAACAAGCGTCAGCCAATCTCAGTAGATCAGCCCTCTTCGGAAAGTGCTGCACTGAATCGCCGATCAAGGCGAACGCAGACTCAACTTAGCTCGATGGCCAGTAAGAGTCTACAATCTCAGGAGAAGTTGCTGGACATTCAACGACTTGCGAAGTTGAAGAAGCGAAACAAGCGCCGTGAGATGTTTTTGCGCGCTCCGGATAATTCGGAGTACCTGGATGATTCGTACATTCCTGCTGTCACAGCTATGTATAAAATGCTGCAATCCGATGAAAAGGCTTGCGGTCCTCTCTGTTGGCTATCCGCTAGTGACACATACCTGAGTAACGACTGTGCACCTCTCAGACGTATTGACGCTGTGCTAGTTCGAAAACTCGCATCAACGCTTGGGTCAAACGCCTGCGTACTTTCAGCGATGATCCGAAGCCATTGGTGCACCTGCGCTCAAATTTACAAATTTTTGGCCGAAGAAAAAAAGCGTAGAAATAGTGGAGACTGCTTCGGAAACGATGATGCCGTATTGGTGCCCGCACGAAGGCAGCAAAAAGGCCGACATTGCGCCACCGCGGGTTTGAACAGGTCGCTGAATAAGCGTGTTCGCGAACATTGCAGCTACGATCACGAGAAAAAGTTGAGTTACGAGCCATGCAATCACGATGGAGTATGCGATGCAACGTGTCGGTGCACTCAGCGCGGTCACTCGTGCAACAAGACCTGTTCTTGTTCGCGCGACTGTCTGAACCGGTTCCAGGGATGCAAGTGCTCGATTGGCAAATGCTGCACGTCGGCATGTCCGTGCTTCAGTGCTGGACGAGAGTGTGATCCAGATTACTGCTTCCATTGTGGGGCAAGCGACGCAGCAGTGATGGCGTTTCACCCGAACTTGAACACCCAAAGCTGCTACGATCTCCATATTTGCTGCAACGTGAATATGCTGCGCAACAGTATCCAGAAGAGGATAGGCGTAGCTTTTTCCGCGACACACGGATGGGGAGCGTTTGCGCTCGAGTCGATTCGCAAGGATGAGTTTGTACTCGAGTATACTGGCGAGCTGATTACGGACGACGAGGCAGAACGGCGAGGCGCGATGTACGATCGCAAGCTAGTGAGCTATTTGTTTGGTGTGAACAGCGAGTACGTAGTCGATGCGGCAAGAAAAGGGAACAAAGCCAAGTTCGCGAACCATAGAGCGAAAAGGAAGGCAAACCTGAATGTGAAAGTCATCGTCTCGAATGGAGAGCACCGGATCGGGCTTTTCGCTCGCGAGGCAATTGAGGTGGGCGCTGAGTTGTTCTTCGATTACGGCTATACACACGAGAGCGCCCCAAATTGGAGTCACCGCGGCAAATCAATGTCTGAGCAGTTTGTCCACGACAAAGTCGACACAGTCGACGAGGAGAATGAGTGAGGGTTAGTGCTTGTTTATATGAAAATGCATGATGGTACTTTGTATCGGTGGAATAACGTTGTGCGTGTTGTTGCGTGCTCGTATAGATAATGGAGAGAATACAAGTAAAGTATAATGGGTGAGTAACGCCCTTCCCACGTCAGGCTTGGGTTCATCCGTCGCAGTGGGTAAAGATGCATGCTACGATAATTTCGCTTTATCTTCTACGGCAAGGGTGCTGGACGGCTCAGTCGGCAAAAACAAGCAATCGAGTGCGCGTGTAACGTTGCTCGTTTTGTCGCTGCGTAACTGGCAGATATGAGGCCACGCTCTCAGCTTCGTACTGTGCTGCTTCCAAGTAGCAACATCGCCGAATCATGTCCAACCCCGCCTTATCCACGCTTGCTGTTGCGACTTTGCACCAAGGTAACGATCTGATCATGAATCCCGATGTCAGGAACCAAGGCGTCGAATAATGTGCCGTTGCATGGAAAGATCGCGTTGCAACAGTGACTCCGCAGCTTGTCCATTTGTGCCATTAACGTACTTGTGGGAACGCAAGGATCGCCATCTTCAAGAATGTCCAAGCCAAGACTGCACAGCGTTGCGATTTATGCTTCACTGACGAAGTATAAGCAAGTCTGTGTAAGAGTGAGTGCCAAACACGTTCTGCTGACGAGACAAGCGTACAAACATCACATACTGCACAGAATAGAAAACCCGGACTCCGTTGTATGCAATTCACATGATCGATGTTTACGCAGTAGTAGCCTCGCGCTCTCAGCAGACTTGCCGATTGAAGTGATTGAAACTGATATTCCACAGCTAACTAATAGCCGGACGATCCAGAGGTCCAACGAGACCGACCAGACCAGACATATGATTGTGAGGCCCCAGATTTGCCTAATGATCGCACATGACTATATATGCAGTGCCACTTTACAGCAAGCAATATATTCTCAGGAAAATGATTGTACGAGTTTGGTCCTCTTCTTTGCGTTGGTAGTGTAGATCTGTTTCGATTCAACTTGAATAGGAAAAAAGGATGGTGCGAAATTGCGTACGGTTCTGCTCAAGCAAGTAAGTGCACAGAGTTTCGATGACGATCGAGTCCGATTTTCTGTTTGGTGTCAACGTACGTCTCGTAATGGGGAAATATATGCCCTTCGTACGATTTACTTTGTTTCGGAGCTCCGCTTCGCATTCAATCTATGTAGTCAGTCAGCTGTGTACCGTGCAGACGCTCATCCGATTCATAGCAGCCTCGGTTTACAGAGTACAATATTGCAAGAAAACAAGTACACCCATATCATTTACCCCGTATTCACACTAGTTCTGGAAATCTCTACACACACCTTCTTCCTCAAATTCATTCCGCTGCATTCAAGTATGCGAGTTTCACACCCGTTTCTTTGAAGTCACTCACACGCCCTTTGTAAGCGACACAGGCGTAACGGAAGATCCAGATTCGGGCCGTATATCATTTCATATGGTACGGCAGAAGGAAAGAAGTAACACTGTCGTTCCAAAAATGCCGAGCACAAGAATACCGTATACTGATATGCATTGTCGATGACTTCTTCGAGCTGTGCATCCGTTTTCCAACAATTGACACGCGCCCATTCTCTCGTAAGCACAAACATGTCACGGTCTTGCAAATAGGCAACACGTCTTTGTGCTTGCCGATCGTACAACGCATTCGCTGACCGGCACTTTCGCGAATTCGTCGAGTCAAACACGCAATGTGTCATCTCCAGACATTCAAGTGACACAAAAGGCGCTTGGTCTCAACCGTTTCCATCATTGACCACATTCAACACGAAAGCAATCGAAGGAAGTAGGACGGATGGCAACTGGTGAACGCATGATCGATTTATTCGAGTGTGTTAGTATCGATGCATACTCGACACGTGTGCATGAATTCTCGAGTATGTGTCACCTTTGAAGCTTACAAGTTTAGTGCCTAGATTGATCGCAGCAGCTACATTGCCTTTTGTCGAGACCCATCTTGTGCTGCATGCGCGAACTTGACAAAGTTTCGGTTTTGAATTTTTTTCGAGGATTTGATGGAAACCAGATAAACGACCGCGGGCTTCGTTGTGACCCACCTCCCTTGGCCCATCGCCGGGTCCGTTCCTCAGAGCGAACTGCAGAATCAACTTACAAGGATGTGCAGTAAGTCAGAAGCGATGCGTACGTAGTCGCTTCGTGTTTCAAATATTGCTGGTACATGGCATTCGTTCTTCAAACGTGTAGACCTATGAGCTTCTCCATGAAAGATCGCTTATGTACGAAGATGATGTAGTTGAGCGGACGACGACGTGATCCATCACGAGTGTAGCGAAATCCAGCGCACGCTCGGGCCATGTAATTTGGTCCTGAAAACCATTTCGATTGTTTGGCATGAGAAAGCGAGCGAAGATTCATTGCGGGATCTGCTATCATCATCAGCGGTAAAAATGTCTACATCTTTGACGGCTCTTTTCAACGGATGAGATCATGAAATGTACAAGAAGACGTAGGGGATACGTAAACACTAATGAAGCTATGATCAGTAGAATTGATCGAGGCAAATAGCCGTCTTTGTGTTGTGCAAAGCAGACACAGAACACCATTGACATGCATACCTAGTCATTCAAAGTATGAAAGAACGAATGTTGATCTAGGCATAACGAAAAGATCAGCTATTTCTCGTTCGTCGCGTGTCAGTGATGTGGCGGCGTCTTGTAGACGTACAGGGAATATCCACTAAGACTCTGTGAGAATAGGAAGCATAGCGCAAAAGTCAAAAGTCAGATACTCCAAATGAGTACAAAAAGATACATACACACCGCACGATCAAACGAAAAATGTACCGAGGATGCCAACAGTACAGATGAATAGACACATGCATGGGATATCAAGCAATACAGACTTTGCCGAGCGATCACGTAGATTATAGACCACTCTGCTGCTCTGCTTGAACGAGCATACTGGAATGAACCCGTCAATTCAAGACCACCTTCGTATGAAGCATGAGCCTAACAATACGGATCATGATGGCAACGGGGCTCTTGAGAAAGCAAATTTCGACAATCCACAAAGAAGCTCCCGCATGATCTCTGTCGGTGCTCATCCATCGTATTGATAAACGGCGAAGAGCGATAAACATGCAGCGCGTTTCGCTCAGGCAAACGACGAGGCAAGCTCGGGATGATAGTAATGGCATCCGAGCGCATCAACTCTAGACACAATATTGGGTAGCGAGAGTAGGACGTCAATCGGCTGGTGACCAAACACTGTCTGTTCAGCAAAAGACAGACATGAGTCAGTTTCACGTACTATACATTAGCCCGTAATGCATGCTCGCTTTGTGACTTGATCGGACACGTGGCATTACGTACCGACAGCTCATTGTGCTACACTCACGACATAGTCGCTCTCTCTGCGTCGTTACATTGAGCACTGACTATCTCGTCGCGAGAACTTCCTATCCTGTGGTAGTGGTGCGTGCTTGTCCACGATCCTCATGGTGGCAAATCTAATGATCAGCAGATACAGTACTAGTCATACACTACCAGAGCACCGCAAACGTTCGATCTGTCTCTTGTCTCAATATCGAATTTGTATAAGTTTCTACGACAAAATTTTCCTCATTTAGCCAAACCTTGTGTATACTCGTTCAGATAGTGTACGAACCGATATTTACAGAGGTGTACCGTCGATCGTCTGTTCATTTATCGATCTTGTGGTAAACACGTTTCTCATAAGATGTTCTAAATTACAAATGAAATCCAGATAAATTAGACGGTGTTTAAAACAGTGACCACCATAAAAGATATAGCGAACTGCAGCAATACATGACAAGGTGTTGCATTGAGACAGACAAAACAGGCGGCCAAACTCAAGATAAAGCGCCTCTTGATCGCTGCTGCAAAGCAGCAGAGAGGATGCTCGATTAATTGAAAGAAATTTATGCAACAGAATAGGCTGCTAACTAAGCGACCGAAGACACTGAAGCGCCACCTCGGAATGCGCGGTCGTATCCGCGAGGGATGGTACATCACGGCTCGCTCAGCGCGACATTGCAAGTACGAGATGCGAGTGAAAGTCATTTGAAACATCGTATAAACCATAACAGTACTATACATTACTATGTGGGGATCGTAAATTGAAGCTACTAGAATTATGATGCTGTTAATAGCCTTTCAAGGAACCAATTAGTCTCCTGCTCGTAGTAAAGTTACCATAAGTTCTTCGAGACAGGTTCCTTCGACATCGCACATTTCTATTTTGCGGCAAGGTACCTAGGCACACAGAAGCATTGCTTGTATCATAATTTAACCTTCCAAGTAGTTGTAGGTCAAGAGTAGTATATTGCGCTCGCGTCTTCGTTGCGTAAAAGGCTGATATCGAAGCTGCCGTCATATCTGCTTTTGGGGGATCGCGGGGTGCCTACTCAGCCCATCGAAGAAGCTCAACTATCGCCGATGTGAACGAAACCGCTACCAGAATGATCAGTATCACTATCGAAACTATCAACATTCTTTGATAGCGCAACGCGTAGCTTTTCTGCTGTTCGTGTTCACACGAAGTCGGACCGTTAAGTTGGCACGGTACGTCTTTCAGTCTGTTTTCGTGGTGGTCCCGTATCTGAAATATATTCGCTGTTTTAAACACCCGTGTACCGCGATCAGGCAAAAGAGTGTAAAAAACCGTATGCGATCTATTCTACTTTTTATTCTTACTCTCTTGACTCATTTTGTGTCGTGATCTATTTTCACTTCAGAGTTATGCTGGTAAACTTTGAGTTACTTGATAACGTGACGTGATTTTCTTCTAGATCTCAGCCATTCTACCTCGATGTGTCGATCGAAAAAGTGCTTGTGTAAAGCGAGTGGCGCCCTCCGATGAGTTGCGGGTCAGTGAACAGGCATTTCTGTATCCGAGTCAAGCTTTTCTGACGTATCCGATGTTTGCGGTAATGTCCATAGACGAGCCAATTTGCCTCATTGAGAACGAGCCATTGCAAACAGAAACAACGTCTCCACTCCACGTAGCCAAAGAACGCATTGAACAAGACATTGTCCAGTTCCGATGTCACTGATCTGCTCACTGCTGACAACGTGCTGTATCTGCAGACTCCTGCATCGGTTTGGCATGTGCCGTCAGGTAGGACACGCGTCCCTTACTTTATTCCGTGTGGGATAATCCATGTGAGATAAACTTTGTGGAAGTTGTACTTTTGCAGCAGGTGGACAGTGTCTCCGTCTCAGTGACCCATAAGGCTCCGTCGCGTACCGCGGAGGGCTTATCAATGTCAACGTCATCCATCTTCTTCCACCGCACACGATAGCCAAGATCTAGTCGACAGATGCTGGCATCGTCTCGCATGTCAGCGACGTTACCACAGCTACCATCTCCAGAATGCGATTGATCGTGACGAGCATCTGAATGCTGGCAACCCATCCCCACGTTTAACAATCTGCTGCCATTTTGGAGGTGATATGTAGCTGTATGGACCGAGATCTAGACCACAACCAGTGCCAATTGCTTCACCCTTACACACATGTTGCTTTGTCTTATGTATATCCAACCGCCATCGACATAGAGCGGGACAGCATGTATTGAAAGAGATGAGGAGGCAAGGCGAGTGATCTGGAGAAGGATCCAGTAGCTAATCTGCAAAAGCTGTATGCTTAGCACCCCGTGTAGATTTCGAAGCTACTCAATCACATCGGATAAAGCAAAAGTGCGCATCTGGCAGGTTAGATCAATCATGTGCATCTTCGAGACCCCATTCGCTTTCGGAGCCACACAATCTGTGCGTCTTCGAGATCCCATGCAGCTTCGAAGCTACTCAATCACATCGGATAGAACGAGCGCGCTCACCCGAAGTTGACCGCAGACAAAAAGATTCAAAAGACTCGAAAGACAGAACAGGACGTGAAAGCAGCGGACCAAACGGAGATGTGTGCATATGTCACAATTGTTCCCCAAGACCGAGAAGATCAAAGTCATGTGTGGTGCCTGTCCCCCACTTGATGTATCCCATACGTCAACACCGCGCTACTCATCGAGTCTTCCGGACCCCGAACTCGCCACGCTCACAGCACCCACTGTACCCTCGATCGACTTGTGGTACAAGTAGGTTTGGCCCTCGACCAAACATACTATCATAGACAATGGTGTTTTTGCGTACCGTATACTGCAACGAAGAGCCCAACTGTAAGAAGAGTCGCTACAAAAGAGCGTATTGTCCGTTCTGTCTTAGCTTCGAACTTACAACTTGGCATCGAGCAACGAGATCGGTGATCGCCCGATCTGGAGAACGTAACGGACGTTGTAACTTGATGGAGGGTAACCTATTGAAGGGAGCACTGTAGACACCAGCTCTTTACTGCTTCAAGCAAGAGATAGAGGGAGAGGCATCGAGCTCGCTTGGATGCATGTTGTTTCGACAAGGGAAATCGATCACAGGTCGAACTTGCATGCCCATTTCGGATGGTTAGAATTGTCGGCTATGAACGTGCTGTGCTATGGACATGTTGTGCTGGTTGCGGTGTAATCGCCACACAGATCGTCATGATTGTTGTGTGAAGAGGCAACTCGATTGCGGTGTTGGTGTGTTGATGAGAGGGACGAGAGAAAAGAGGGACGACGGCCGATGTTGCATATGCAACAATGACAACAACAATGTGCGGTCGACGGCATGGCCGTGACATGTATATGCTGACGACGAGGAGATGATAGTCACTCAGCGAGCTCTCTGTGTTGCCGAGCGAGGAGATGACCACTCACTCCATACGCTTCCGTGTTTTTGAGTACTGCGGAGGAAGTAGGAGGTATACATGTCGATGTTGCCTTGCTACTGCTACTTCGTCGTTTATGTCCAGGCAGTCTCTGTAGTGCCATCTTGCTTTATCGTTCTTGCTACTACTCATTGATGAGTGCAACGGCCTTTTTTGCAGCGTCACAGGGGTCTTTGCCCTGCTCAGCAATGCGTAACTAGCAACGGCAGCTAACGAACAACGAGTGTCATGCTGATGTTGTGCTTGTAAGCGCCAACGCGTTTGCTCGGCTGTATCAGGTAGTACCTGCTCTTCCACATCCGTAGCGCAGGACTCTTTGCAGTTCTGATCGTGTAGATATTGTCACGCACGGGCACACGATCACAGCCTCGACAAGACCAGAAACTCGCTAGCGCAAGAGCCATATGCACGATGTCGATCAGACGACGTCAGGAACTCCATGGCGACTCTGTGAGCTCAGGTACCTACAGACAGTAGCCGTTTCCGTGTACTGCCTACTGCTGGTGATATCACTGCTTCTTGAGCTATTGCTGGTGATGCTGCTGTCCGTGAAGCAGGAGTTGCGAGAGCTACAGCACTATTGCAAGCATCGAGCGTTTGCTGATCTGCGCTGGCCATCCTTGCGTGACATACCAAACCAAATTGTCGATGCCAAGAAGCTCGACTTGCGCCTTGCCCCCGCACACTCCCTTGTGTATTTGCCCCTCGGACTGGGACCGACTGGCCACAATCTCTCAGCGACGACATCTCCCACTGTGTATCCTCTTTCCTCTTCACGGCCCATCGCAACTCGTCACCTCATCAAAAGTTGCCCCACTTCCTACTCGTGTAGCATGCACTTCGTCACCGGTCCTACGACCGCTTCTGCCGCTGTGCTCGTGTCTGCAATACCCACAGGATCGACGTAGATCTCCAGGCACGACGCGGACCACCACCACGTCCTCGTCAGCTGCCACTGAATGCCTTTGTCCTTGAACTTCTTCTGGTCGTTCAACCGACTCAACTGGAGCTGCAGTCGGCTCTCCGCTTCTCGAACTTGCGATGCAGCGCAGTACAGCGACAGCCCCAACGTGCAGATGCAACAGCCGTAGCCAAAGCTCTTGCACGGCACACACGGCCAGTGGTCAGTCAGAGCGTCGTTGATCACGCGTAAGGCCTTTGCAAAGTCGTCGCGGGGCATCAGCGCTGCCAGTCGCTCGGACGCTGGAAACTCGTCGTCGTAACTGGACGAGAGGCCGTTTACAAACACTTCGCCCGTTGGCTGTAGCACTGCGAGGCGTTCCCGACGTGGTAGCGGTCTACTGGACATGTGGTACCTCTTGTGGTCACGGGCGCTGCGAGACGGATGAGCAGAGCGGGTCAACAGTGCACGCTCTTCTTCCTCTGCTTCTGCTGCTTCTTAGCCGTACTCTAGCCGGCATAAACACGATACGAACGTACTGCCGATGGCAAATCAGCATACGTTCGTTTCGTTGGAACGTGCCTTTCGGATCCGATACCGTGTTGGCTGTGCGGCAGTAAAAGCAGCTTAACCCCCAAAACAACGACGATTTAATTGGGTCGCAAGCGTTCCCACATTTAATTTGTCCGCTATGAGCGTTCACGGTACGTCGTTAATGGAGACCGAGTTTCGCCACGTCCAGTTGACGGCCCCTAATGGCTCTGTCTGCGCGTCGGTGTAGTAGACTGCCAATGCCACCGTCTGGAGAGCGCCCGCGTCGCGTACGAACCGCAATGGCGTCAAGTGTGCACCAAGTTCTACTTCCACAAAGACGCGGCAGCCAAACGCGTGTTGGACTGCTTTGAAACGAGCCGAGCGGACGGTTTCAAGAGCTGTGGACCACAGGCAGACGAAGTTTGGTGCGTGAGGTCGTCGCCACATGCGCACGTACCGCGAAGATCGGAGCAAGCAGTATTTGTGTCGTGTATGAAAACGAGTGACTGGGTCTGGTGCGTGTAGTATTTCCACAGCAGAGGACGCGACCAGTGCCGATGAACACGTGCGGGCGCTCGTGCAAGTGCTCGAGCTGCCCAAGTGCGCGATCTCGGGCCACGCAGAGAGTTTCCACCAAACGTGAGTGATCGTGGGGTACGCGGGTAATGGACAATTCGTTCTTGATGAATGCCAGGCATAACGCGGTGCACCGACAGGGTCCAGATGCTGGAATCAACAAAGAGCGCCGTGCGGTCGAAGTACCACGAGCACGTTGCGCATCAACGGGTGCGACTTGAGGTTGCGTGACAGAGTTAGGAGGTCCCTTGGCTGGTGACAAAAGCGAACTCACGCAGGTGTTGGCGTTTGCCACAGTATACGGCGTTCGACGCGCGCGCCAAGGCAAGTCAGGGAACGAACTTTGAGCTCTGGACGGACGACAGCGGCCAGCAGCAACTGGCCGTCCGCGTCCAGCACGACTACGTGCGCTCCGACGCGAGTTACACGAAAATGGTGGAACGAATGCAGGCGTTCATCGACAAGCACTTGCCGAACATTGGCTGCCATCCGTTCTTGGCCGGCCTTTGTGCGGCGTTGCAGTGGAACCTCGAGAGCTCGACCGTCGTCGCATGGCAACGTACGTAGTCGCTCGCTCTCTCGCTCTCTCTCTCTCTCTCTCTCTCTGGCTAACTCGATTTCCATGCAACGTGCTCTGCAGTGCCGGACGCAGTGTTTGTCGAGAGCGGCGATGCCGTCTTCACCCACAATGCACTGAAACTAATGGCGTCTGCACTCAACTTTAGCCACTGCGAACGCAGCGCAGAGGCACAACAAACAACAACAACAACAGCGACAACGACAACAGCGAAAACGACGACAGCGACCCGCGTGAAAACGCGCGACTGGTACGTGGATCCGTATCTATCGGATCACGACCTGCGCCGACTCGTGCGCCTCTTCCCGGGCGCCCATCGCCTCGAGGGCAAACCCACAGGCAGTAAACTGCGCACGACGTTCGAGCGCACGAACGTCCACGGTCAGCGCGACGAGAAGGCGCGTTTCTTCAGCCGCTGGTGCGTCGTGTTGTAGTCAGTGGGAGGGCACTGCGTCGCGTAACAAGTGCCGGAGAAGAAGCGCTACGGTACAATTGTTGGCATTGTCGTCGTCAGAGTCATTATCACGTAAATACATACACAGATACATACATACATACATACATACATACATACATACATACATACATACATACATACATACATACATACATACATACATACATACATACATACATACATACATCCATACATACATACATACATACATACATACATACATACATACATACATACATACATACATACATACATACATACATACATACATACATACATACATACATACATACATACATACATACATACATACATACATACATACATACATACATACATACATACATACATACATACATACATACATCCATCCATCCATACATACATACATACATACATACATACAGATACACGAGACACGGTGGGCCATCTAACATCATATCGATTGCGGAGCGGTAGTGCAAAACCTCGTTTACTGCATACCTACAAACAAACTGACAAAATCACAGTGCGTCACTTTTGACTCGACGTGATCCTCTTCGAACGCGTAGCTGTTGGCACTTTTCGTATCGGTCTCAATGGCTACGCAGCGACAATGGCGTCGACTGCTGCTGCAGCTGACGCTGGTGGCTGCGCTCGTCTGTGCCGCGCGAGCGTTCAACTTTGGCAACTTTGGTGGCGAGCGTCACGAGCACGAGGAGGTCGCAGCTGCAGACGTCGACTTTTACGAGAGTATGGGCGTGAAACCGGATACGGCGTGTATTGCTGGGGAGGTGGCGACTTTATCGAGAGAGCAAATGCCTTTTTTCTCATTTTGTGGTTGTGGTGTGGTGTGTGCCGTCTCCTGCAGCGCTGGGCCTGACGATGGAAGCAACGGACGTGCAGATCAAAAAGGCGTACCGTAAATTGAGTCTAAAGTACCACCCGGACAAGTACACGGGCGACGAGGAGGACATTGAGAGCCGTTTCCACGACATTGCACGCGCCTACGAAGTGCTGTCGGACCCGCAGAAGCGTCAAGTGTACGACCTCGAAGGCATCAAAGGCCTCCAGCGGGAAGAGCAGTCGGCCGGACGTCCATCCAGTCCGTTTGACGCGTTCTTTGGCGGGGGAAGCGGTCAGCAGCGAGGACCTGATGCCGCAGTCGACATTCCCCTGACGCTCGAAGAGCTCTACAATGGCGCGCAGAAACAAGCGCAGTTTTCGCGCAACGTCATTTGCCGCAAGTGTCGCGGCACGGGCGCCAAAGACGGCAAGACCAGTACGTGCCGGCAGTGCAAGGGCAAGGGCCACGTGATTGTCGAGCAGCAAGTGGGGCCAGGGTTCACCGTGCAAATGCAGCAGCCGTGTCCGAAATGCAGCGGCCGGGGCAAGACGTTCAAGACCGCGTGTCCGTTCTGCCACGGCCACAAAGTCGTCGAGGAAGACAAAGTGCTGACGGCCGACGTCGAGCGCGGCATGCCGTCAATGCACCAGATTGTGTTTGAGCGCGAGAGCGAGCAGCACCCGGGCATGGTGCCAGGCGACGTTATCTTTCGCTTGTACCAGCTGCCGCACGATCGGTTTCGGTACGTTGCGCTCGCTTCTTCCTGTGCTTTGTATGTCTTGTTTTTGGGTTCGTGACGTGCGTTGACTGATGACAGTATCTGTTTGTGTCGGCACCTGTGTTGTGGTTTCTAGTCGAGCGGGCGACGACCTCCACTTTGATCTCGAGATCTCGCTGGAAGAAGCGCTGCTGGGGTACAAGAAGCCGATCCAGCATTTGGACGATCGCACAGTGGTGCTGAGCAACTCGCAGGTCACGACGCCGTTCGAGGTTCGCACGGTGCAGGGCGAGGGCATGCCCGTGCACAACTACCCTTCTCAGCTCGGCAACCTGCATGTCCACCACGAGATCCGCTTTCCCACAAAGCTCTCAGCCCAACAGAAGGAGCTCGTAGCGAAACTGCTGCCGGATGATGCGGTCACAGCTGTCGAGTGAGAGTCGACCACGACAGCAACAGCAACAGCTTCAGCAACAACAGCAACAACAAGAACAACAACGTGCTGACTTGCCGATCCCACGCGTCTTTTGTTGCACATCTTGTCTATGGGACTTGTGGTGGCGTATGGTCGACTGACTTTCAGCAGCTGTTGGGCGCCGGCACTGATCCGTCGACTGGCAGCTCAAACTCGAAAAGGATCTGCCATCGACGCCCGGCATGACGACCGTCGGGACACAGGCGCAATGGAAAAGTGCTGCATGTCTTACGTCGTTCGATGGCTATTTCGCTGCTTTGCGTCGACTCATCTCGTGCTGTTCGTGTCGTGATGTTCATCCAGCGGAACAACTGGAACTGAAGCAGCAGCTGATCGAGACCGACACAGTCCAGTGGCGCCTGCAGTCGGACTCAGCCAGCGACGCCAACTGCCACGTCGTGCGACGAGTTGCTGGAGTCGACATCAGTTTCCTCAGAGGTTCGGACGAGCACGCGTGTGCCTCCATCGTGGTGCTGGACTACCCGTCCCAAGCTCTGCTGTACGAAGCATTCGTCTACGTCGCGCTGCCAGCTCCGTACGTTCCTGGGTTCCTGGCGTTCCGGGAAGTTCCAGCTCTGACAAAGCTGTACGACGATCTCCGGCGTCGCCGTCCAGGTGTGCGCATGTGGAAGAGCATCGAGAAGAGAGTATGGGGCTGTGGGGCATGTGTACCTGACGTCGACTGTCTGTGCTGTAGACCTGCTGCCTGACGTGACACTGGTGGACGGCAATGGGGTGCTGCATCCGCAGGGCTTTGGTCTCGCCTCGCACTTTGGTGTGCTACGAGGCATTCCGACGATCGGCATTGGCAAGACGTTCCTTCACGTTGATGGGCTGACAAAGTGTATCGTGAAGAGACTGATGGCCGAAGCTCGAGAAGACGACGGGACGCACGACGTGGTGGAGCTGACAGGAAAGTCTGGAAAGGTACAGAGTGTCTGCCACGTGTGCATCGAGGAAACAACCCGGAGCAAGTGCGACGCAGTTGATTGATGCCTCGCAACGTGCTTACGGCCCTCTGGTCTGTCTGCTGTGCAATCGACAGGTATGGGGCGCGGCAGTATGCAGCACAGCGGACGTGAAGAATCCCATCTACGTGTCGATTGGACACATGGTATCCCTCGACACGGCCATTGCAATTGCTCGAGCGTGCGCCCAGCACCGCGTGCCCGAACCCATCCGGCAAGCCGACCAGCGGTCCCGCGCCGTTATCCGGCAGTGGACCAGCAGCAACGCCGTCGACATGACGCTCGACCTATTCCACGTCCATGCGCCATACTGACGCTCGACCGGTTCCGAGACACCTCTTCGAACATGTCTGCAGGTACAACTTCATTGAGCCTCCGTCCGCCAGCTACAACAGCAGACACTACTCACTCAGTCCGTCGTCGTCAGTAAGTAACCTCAAATAAGTTAATGGTTGAAAAACGGGAGCGACAACAAGTGTCCACCCGACACTCGCGTCCACCTCCCGCAGCAACTACAGCTGCAATTACAGCTGCAATTACAGCTGCAGCTTCTTCTTCTCCTTCTTCTTCTACTACAGCTGCAGGCTGAGCACCATCGACAGAAACCGCCAGTCCTGTCGCGGCACGTGCGCCACTGTCACTCCCGATGGCGACCGCGGCGACTTGACGTCGTCCAAGGCGCCCGCCCAGTCCTTCTCGACTTTGACCGCGTCGCGCGGCCGCACGTGTCTTCTCTCCCCGCTCCCCGAGTGGTCCACTGCTGCCGCCTCAAGCGGCAGCAGTGGCGGCCCCAGCAACTGGTCAAAGCTCCGGAACAGCGTCGCCAGCGGCAACAAGTGCGTCTTGATCTGCTGCTCGACCGTCTCGAGCTGCGCGAGCGACACGCGCCGCAGCCGCGCGGGGTCCAACAGCAGCAGCGCCCGCAGCTTCTCGAGCGTCTGCACCGTGCGCACGAGCTTGAGCACGAGCGCGGGCGACACGGGCGCGTCGCGACAGGCCGACCCGGGGCCGTACACGAGCACGGCCCTGAGCTCGTGCACGACCAGCGAGATGTCGTCCAAGTACTTGCGCCGGAGTTCGGCCGTCACGGCGACAGCAACGGCCGCCGCGCGCGCACTGGGCGGCCGCCGCGCCGTCAGCTGCTTGAGCGACTGCAGCGGCGGCAGTCGCGAGGCGGCGGTCGCGCGACGGGCCGTTGGATGGGGCGTCACGGGCGGAGTGAGTCGGACGCGCTTGGGCGCGGGCGGCCACGCGCTGAGGCGACTCGGGGGCGTTACCGACACAGCTGCGCTTCGGAACGGCGGCATGTTGCAGGGCCGTCGTCCGTCGATCTGTAGGGAGTCACTCGGTCGGGGGAGTCGGCGAGTTGAAGAGTGAGTGAGTTTGCGTGCGAGTTAAAGAGTGAGTGAGTGAGTTAAAGAGTGAGTGAGTGGGTGGGTGGGCCGACAGACGTGGGAGGAGGAAAAAGCCAAAGTGAGCGCTCGTGCGGTTGCGCTTTGCGCCAGTCACGGACGTGAGCGGGTGGGCGTCTGATTTTTCTCAGCCAGAGAAAAACAACCACTTGGCCTTTGTATGCCCGTGCGGGAGAAAGCGCCGGGCCAGCTGCTGCTCACGCACACACCCGAAAGCTGCTGCCCGTGTGCGAGAGCTGTTGCTGTTGCTGGTCGTGTGTGTGTGTGTGTGTGTGTATGGGGGGGGGAGAAGCAGACGCTCTGACGCAGCCGTTGTCGTCTCTTTTTTTTTCGTCGTCGTCGTCGTCGTCGTCGTCGTCTTCGTCGGTTTTGTCGATTTTGTCTTTTGGGACTGGCGACGCCTTTTGTAGCGTTTTGTATCGCTCTCGAGACAGCAAAAAACGAGCACAGGCGAAGACGGGCGAACAATTGACGAACGACACTTTACAAACAGACTCACGAGCTGTGGGCCGCCGCCGTATCCGCTCCCACTCCCCACTCGCTGTCATTGATCGATCGATCGATCGGTCGGTCGGTCGATTGATCCATAGGGCCGCTCTGCTCTGTCCCTTTGTTGATCGGCCTGCGCACGGACCCGAACGTGCGCGTGGCGTCTCTTTTTCGTCCTCTTGTGCACGCACGTGGCCAAGTCGGTTGTTGTTGTCGTCGTTGTTGGCGTTGTTGACGCCCTCTGTGCGTCGGTGCGGTCGTCGTGTTGGACGCTGCGAAACTTGTCGCGCGGGCCGCACCAGGTGGCGCATGTAAAAGAGCTGTCGGCCCGTTGTCGGCCCGCTGTTGCCCCTCGACGCACCGTCCAGCTGACAACCCATCGACGCGGTTGGCCGAGTCGTCGACTCGATGCCGTCCGATGCCTCGAGAGGCAGTCGCAGCACTGCACGCGCCTCCTTTTACATGGACCGATCGGTAGATAGATAGATAGATAGATAGATAGATAGATAGATAGATAGATAGATAGATAGATAGATAGATAGATAGATAGATAGATAGATAGATAGATGGATTGGATTGATACACAGAGAGTTCGGTAGGGATCGAACCTGATGCAGGTTAGTCGTGGTCGGGGCTCGACCTCCGACCCGTGAGGTGGTCTCGCGTGTTGCTCCTTTCCTGCCACTCGGATGGACATCCCCCACGCGTCGACTTTGGAGCTGAGAAGGGGGTCCACCTGATCGGCGCCTCGTGGCAGTTTCGACGACGAACAAGTGTCGCATGGCCACAGGCGGCGCAGGAAGTGAGCGGCGCCCGAAAGGACCTCATGGACGTACGCGACAGTGGGCGAGTGCACTGGTTCGTGGCGGTCGACCGCCAAGTTTCGATACTTGCAAATCTGTCATCCAAGCGATGCCACTCAAACGCAGACGTCCGTCGATCGAGTGTGGGCGAGAGGCCGTTCGTTGCTCAGGTGTTTTTCGTCGCTCCCTTGTACAGGCGATCGCGTTGCGCGCCACGGAGAACTTGCGCGCCTCGAAAGGCTTTCGGCGACGTCCCGCGAGCGGTTTCAGTCGGCTCCGTCGCAACGGAATTGGTGTAGTCGTGGCCTGCGACACGTTCGGACAGCTACTGCTACTGCGGTTGACGTTGGCGAAGAGGTGGTCGGTCTTGAGACACGGGCAGGATTACCACTGTGCGGTCCCGTAGGTGTCGGGTGCAACGTGGGCGGGCGCAAGAGCGGGCGGACGGACGGACGGACCGTAAACATGAAGACGCCAGCGAAGCAGTAAACAACGCGGAAGCGCAGTGAGTCAGTCAGTGCGACACATGCGGCACCGGCGCCCAGCTTTCGAGTTGAAGATCAGGTTTGACAACGGCGTGGACCGGAGCACTAGACACGGCAGTAGCGGATGTGAGATAGGAGAACGCCACGGCACCTGAGGACTTCTGTTCGGATGTACATATTCGGTCGGCCTTCTGACGCCAATGTGCGTTGCGACTCGTGGCAGGAGCTACAAAGGGTTTCGCGCAGGGTTCGCATGCTATCGACTAACGCCTCGCAGCACGAACCTGACGCGGCTCTGCGTGCCCCGTCCGTTCTGTACCGAATGTGTCGAGTCGATCGGTTGCAACACGCCAAGTTGATGTATGACGACAGCCAGCGCTGGAATGTCCCGCTATCTCCTCACGTGGCGAGGCGCCTCAGAGCGCCTCGAGCACGATCGGAATCACTTCGCAGTTACGAGGGCGTATCGGTGTGCCCAACGTGACGGCACAGATGGCTTCAATGATACTGAGGTGCGCGGCCACGACCACGTAGTGCTCGGGCACCTCTCGAAAGAGCTCGAGCAAGAACGCTCGCGCCCGCTCGTGGATCTCCTCGACCGTCTCCCGATGGGTCGACGACCACAACTGGTCCTCTTCGGTCGTTAGCCGTGAAAAGTCCACCGTTGGGAACTTTGCCTGGAGCTCCGACCGCGGTCGCCGCTGGTTGCACGTGTGACAATCGAGTGTCTCGCGACAGCTTTCAATGCACATGAAGGGGTGCTCGGGGACCTGATCGGCTGTAAAAAAGTGCTGCGCCGTCTGAATTGCTCGCGAAATAGGAGACACGACGACCCGTTCAATGCGGGGCATGCCCTGGTCCAGCTCAGCCTGCACGCGCGCCTGTCCTTTGCGTTGGGCGTCTTGGAAACCAAAGGGGGTCAGCGGAGCATCGAGGAACGCGCTCGTTCGAGCAAAGTCGTCTTCCCAGCGGGGCGAGCCGTACTTGGCATGGGCCTCGTTGTGCGTACCTTCGGCGTGCCGCAAAAGGTAAACGACTTTGATCTGTCGCAGTGCCTCGTCATTGAGTCGCTTCGTTTGCTGCTGCTGCAAGTGCGTCACTTGGCGCTGAAAGTCCGACCAGGACGACGGAATCCGCTCGAAGCGTGCAAAGAGCGGAGAAGGGGAATCGGATTCATTGGTTGTCGTGGACGCCCTGAAAAAGCCGTCGACCGCTTTCACGAGCGTTGGTGCAACCGAATGGGTCGTATTGCTGGAGAGATTGCTGGTCTGTTGCGTCATACTGGCAGAGTGTAGGAATGGCGAGCGATGAGGATGAGGACGGTGGTGTCCTGGCCAAAGGATACGTCGGCCGCTGCGTTGGTGGTTACGGCGGTGCTGTATTGGAACGCGGCTGGTCCCGTATACAGCGCTGTTTTTTTTCGATTACGGCACCGTCGAGAGCCAGATAGGGGGGGGGGGAGACGAGGAGCGACAGTGTGATGTTTGAAACACGGATTTAATCAGCATGTGCGCCCTGTTCTCGCATCGCATTTGTTTGGCGTTGCCACGTGTCTCTGCGCTGTAAAAGACACTCACGTGTATCGTAGGCGCAGACGGGTGCTACGCGGTGGACAAAAAGACAAAGTGCGACGGCCATCGCCACTTGTTTCGATGGGCTCAAGATGCCATCTGTCTCAACCTCTAGGAAAGTTACGCATTCTACGTGCCATATGTGTTTGGATGGAGAAGTGGTGTCTGTCAGTGGCTGACAGTCGCCCGCTCGCTGCGATCGGAGAGAGTGCGAACCCGTTCTGGCTGAACGCAAGTTCAGCAACGTCGCAGTACCGCACAACGAACGTGTGGACGACGAAGGACGTGCACATGCCTCAAGTGCAGGAAGTTGATGGCGTGCCACGTAAGATGCGCAGCTGCTTTTCAGCAACAGCAGACGGAGATGCTGACGCATTGTTGTCGATCGAGACTGTCGATACGATGGACATCGTCGACGAGTGCACGGAAGCATCGAAGAGAAAAGTAGCGGCTGCTCACGTCCTCTTTATCTACAAGCGCGTGATCATACACGTCACACACGTAGAAGGAGGCGTCAATGTCCTTCGTGTAGCGGCGGATTGCCAGCTGTCGTTCGTAGCTTATCTAGAGCGAGCTGTAGTGGGCATGACTGCTGCGAGTATGGTTGTTTTTGTGCAGACATGACCCGTCCAGCTGCTACCAGCTATAGGTACTGAAGAGCCGTTACGAGAGCGGCACTATCGACGCTTTGACTGGGAGCATCGAGGAAGAAGCCGCTGTTGTAGGTACGAAGAAGATACAGGACACGCGATCAGTCTAGCAGAGGAGCGTTGCCTGAGCTACGGTAAATACTGCGTTGCTGTCAGCAGGATGACAATCGGAGCAGCAACTACTACCATCGCGGGTTTCATGTACGCACAGTGGCAAGATCGACTATCGTGTCGTCGATCAATCATTGTTAGCCGTTCACCGTTCGGTTTCTCATTGCTCGATCATCTCGCGTAAGTTTCCCAAACATGTCGGACTCGACCATGGGAAGTTGGTACTTTGTAGTGTTTCATCGAGCACTTCGACGCTGTCGATTTTGTGCGTTGTACACATCAAGCAGTAGCCTGTGTCACAGAACTCGAGCGAGACCGATCCGGGATATCGACCAAGAAGGCGACTGACTTTGAGCTCTCTTTGAGCTTTCCCCAAGCATAGTTCGGCGTATGCAAACTTTCCAGCAATTAGCGCTTTTGTCTCGCAGGTCAAACGTGTGGATGGCAGAAAGCTGTAACGATTGCATTTGTGTCGCCGTAGGTCGCGCGCATACCTGCGGAAGACGATTGTAGGATGAGGAGTGAACGTAAGTCTATCTGAGAAACATAGACTGATGCAGAGAAAACACTTTGCCAGCTCGCATCGTCTATTCGGGCAACAGGACGTTGCTACATTCTGCAGAGCTTACACTAGAATAGACAGCACAACGAATAACTTTCTCACCGCAAAAACTGTGTCTAGCGATCACAACTTGTTGCATTCCACTTCTTGTAGGCGCACCTGTTAACTTGCTTGGAAAGAGCAAGAAGAAAGCAAGATAGAAATAATGACTACCGCCTACCAGCTCGACATGCAGCGCTGTTTGTTCCTATCATGGAGAAGTCCAAGCCATTACCATGACTCGTACATGCTCTCTCATGCGTCCCGCGTGATATTGTCCTGCTTTGAACAAGATTAAGCAAAGGTCGTTCCGACGGTAATTGAAATACGTCATATAATTTACTGGAAGCGCCGTGGACACGGTCCCTTATGTGTACGAACCGCAATTTGGCCATTGCGAATGTAAGGACTGCCAAGTGTCAGAAAGGTCTCTATCGAAGTGTGAGCGTTTCAAGCACAGTAGTAAAAGCAAATGGGTTTGCAAGCAACTAATCCTCGGGCTGCAAAGCGATCAAGGACTGCTTCGAGCATGGCCGCGTAAGTCTATCAGCACATATATCTCAAATTAAGCGCAGAAGCTTACCTTGAGGCACCTGCAAAATGGTGCGACTTTGCAGATAGTAGAACATGTCCATCGAACAGCAATGCTTGCATTGCAATTATCTTACAATCTGTATTGCGAATGCAGCAAGTTGACAGTAAAACGTCATACCGATCCAGGGCTTGTGCGACGATTCCGAGACGTGAAAAGCACATGTCCAAAAGAATCAGCGATGAAAGTGTCAAGCCACAAATTCGCAGTATGCTGTCCGTGGGGTTCTACGGAGGCTAATTCCGATAGGTGCTGTGTCTATGATGCCACATTATTGCGATCTGAGAGATGCATTGTCTCCAAGCAAGACAGGTCATGTAAGATCATGTCACTCTCGTGTAGGCGACAAGCGCCATTTGCTGCATTGAAGACCAGGAATGCAAAAATGTATGTCATCGTCTACGTGCAACATGTTGAGTAACACAAGAGTGAAGTGTCTTGTGCGTGAACAAAGTGCGCGGGTTCTCCAAAGGTTAAAGGCGTGACGTGAATATTGCGGAAGCCAATGAAGAACTCCAACACATCGTCATACTCATTTGATTTGGCCAGCAATGTATACCGTACCGCGTTTAAGACACGTCAGTATGTTGTCCGTAACGTATCGGCGGTCGAATTTCTCCACGAGGTCATTTGAAATCACGTGTATCCACGACGTCATGTCATCTAGTGTGTAAGTCTTTCATCCATGACTTTCTCTTGTGTAAACCTGTTATTGAAGAAAGTAGTACTTTGTAGGAGCTCATAGCTGATAGCCTGACATGTATTTCAATATCGTCATCGGCACTGCGTACAATCGAATATCAGGATATGTTGAACAGGGCCACAAATTCCATATTTTCCCGCAGAATAACCTTGCAGCTATCATGAAATAGCTGCAAGGCTATTCTGCCCGGAGTTCCTGATTCCTCCATTACGTTAGACTTTGACAGGTAGCATTGCACATTGCTCGTACAGAACACGAAAGGCTCGATTTGGCGCCTAAACGTTCAATTCGATTCGTTTCAACTAGTCTCACGTTACGATGTGAACGTGGCCCTCGTTTATTAGCATATCTGTCGACATTATCGATCGGACATTCGTCCTTGTCCGTGAGCTTGGTTTGGATTACGATCGGTACCACCACACGACAACTTGTGATCGGTAACACGCATCCAGCAACAGTAATGCAGCAATTTTTTCTAAGAACATATGTGCTCCACGATTGCACAGTACACAATCAGGCATTTGCTAACACGAGAAATAAGGTGTTGCACATCGACAATCCAGAAGTGTGAATAATAGGGCGTCACTGAGCCCTCACTCCAAGCTAGAGCTCACTCCCAACCGAAAGAGAAACAAACGTCACCTACGATGCTCACCATGGCTACGAATGCGCATCATAAAAGCATTTGGTATCAGGCAATCTCTGGGCATCAAAGTTGTCCTTAACTAATTCGTATATCGTCTTCCTGTTACTATCTTGACTCCACCTAATTCTTGTCATAGGGTTCATCGTTTCGTAAAGTAGAACATGCAACATGCAGCTTGCATGCATCAGCTTTGTTCAGCTCTATGAATCGCTAGAGAGTGATTGGAAGCAATGACCGTGTTTATTGCACTAGTCACCATGCATTCATTACCAATTATACTAGACAACGCCTTATCTGCCGCTCGCAAATCTCGATCCTAACACGCTGCTTATCGTGTCCATCTGAACGTATCGAAGGAATGGCTCTCTTGTCATAAATGTTAGTCTTACCTCTAATCAAGTCATGGATAAACTGAATTCGTTGCATTTCTCACGTATCACGTAGACCTGCCTACCCAAGTTTTCTAGTCGGTATGCTTTCGATCGAAGCTTTGCTGACGTCACTACTCACTACCTTAATGCGTTAGCAATGCATACTTTGCCGTCGATTCGAGGATCAAGAGAACTTACACGCTTAACAAGTGTCTATGAGGAGTCTACAATCTATTCGCTCATGACTAGTGATCATTGCACGACTCGCGGACATACAGAATTGTTTGTCGCGAAAAAAATGCAACACGTCAATGAACCTCACCGAGAATCAAACCGAAATGAACGATGATTCATTTTGACGCATTGTGAGCAGGTCTATCATCTGTCACTTCCTTTTCATTCCGTCGCGCGTTGTGTGGCAGCGTATCGGCGGAACGGGCATCGACGGAATGAAGATTGAGGTCAAAGCGAAGCGTGTCGGACTTTGTAGTGGCTGTATGTAGCGTTGGTCTACTGTTTGCGCGACAAATAATTCATCGATGTACATACATACAAATACGTCGCTGTTTATGCCTCTAACAAATGAAGCAAAACAACAAATCCGTAAATAACAAATCGACTTCCGCTCTTTCGCGTCCGCCGCATGCATCCTCTACTACCCTAACATTGGATCAATTGCTTCAAACGTGCACTGCGACTCATGGCGTCTCAAACGGCAGAACCAATGTATGTTTGACCTAAGACGCGAACGATTTAGAATGCGAGAAACGGCTCGCTGGTGATTACAACTGATAAACTGTATTTAGAACAGACAGAGTCGAATCTACAATTGGCGTGATACCACACTGCAGATGTCTGAAGATCGTAAAACGAGGTCCTTGCAGGTAAGAAAGATAAAGAGCATTAGCTGCTTGAAGCGTCATACGCGACTGCAAAGCTACTTTTCGCGATTGATTCTTTATATGGGGCATCTTCCATGTCCGAAACTGTGGCTCTACTAGAGCCAAATGCGAACTAATCCCGATGTTCATCGATCCATTGGATCTACTCCATGCGACCAAAACTATTGATTGTCAGCAGCCGATGTGCATCTCGTAACAAGCAACGGAGATGGGAAATGCAGACCACATCGAGCAGAAGTAAGAGCCATCGACGATGCCAACTCAATTGTCATGGATGCGCTACAGCAAACATGTCAATCTTATAGACGTCATACCACTTCGACGACAGCGCAAGAAGATATCACATCTAGGAGAGAGATTTTTCTATACTTGTCATATCACTGAGTCATGATGTGCAGTTTTGAAGCTGATCGACTGGAATGTCGTCCACTGTTTGTTTTTTTGCTGTCCATGACGATGGCTTTCGCATATGCCCAGACGCGTTGCGATGTAATGATCAATCTCTGGTGCAGCTGCACGAAAAGAAGTGGATTAGTGCCTAGAGGGACGAGCAGAGAATACGTACCACGAACGTGGCTCAATGTCAAACGTCAATATGGTCCGTCGTACAGGAGAACCGAGTAAAGATAGCTCAATACCGAGTCGGCATTCAGCAGACCTGAGTAGAACCCGCTCTGCAAGTGTTGCGAGCTAGGTACCGACTGAATCGGTCTTCAGGTAACTTTCTAGGTCGATTTTACTTGGTTCCGTATGAATGCAGCAAGTTGGCTCATCAATTGTGCTGGAGTAGTGCGCGTTAGTAGCGATATTGGCAGCTGTGTGATCACACCACAACAATCACGTGCGCAATGACGTACCGACGATCCTTGCAATACGGAAGCTTTGTTTATGACTCTGCTAGCAGCTGATGTTCCAATTCCCTGTATCGTGAACGAATGGTCTTGTGTAATAGTGCTGCGTAGTAGATAACACGGATCGTTTTGTACAGGCTTTATTTTCATGCGCTCGCTACGATGTGTCCGGGTTGTGGTATTTATACAAATAGTACTGCTTGCTGCACCTGATGCCATCGCGTGTCCACACGAAGTCAGATGATATCTCCTGCTCTGGAATATTTGTCATTGTCTTTGGCAACACCCATTCTCGAACGATAAATGTCCATCAAGCTTCGTGGCAGCCAAGTCTTATGTTGTCTTTGCACACCGAGCTGACAAGTTGAAAGCGCCAACACGACCTCTTGGGTCAAGAAGCTGACCCCCTAGCGCTTTCTAATTGTGCGGTTTCTTATTCATGAACCAGGCAACCTGCATCTAATGCATGTCAGTCTACCATCCCTCTATAATGTTGCTTCTAGTCCACCTTGACGAGCTTGCGGTTCAATGGAAAGCTCTTTCCGTCTCGCTTCAGAAAGCTGGGGCTGTGCACGGGCACAAACCAGTACGGGAACTCGCGGAACGTGCCGAACACCTCTTGGAAATTGCGCACGATGCCCATGTTGAAGTAGTTCACATACTCCGGGTCAGTGCGCTTCTCACAGTATTCGAGCGTGCTGTAGTTATTCGCCACAAAGTACAGATGCACCATGTAGAAGCAAGCTAGTGCAAGTCCCAGGCACGCGCTGCCGACAAAGACACTCACAATCTACGCAGCAACAGAGTCGAGATGGCAGTCGACACACACACAGAGTGAGCTGCACAGCAACAACAACAACACCTGCAGCATTAATCGACATGGTCGAGTGCACAGACCAACCTGTAGGTGTGGACTTAAAAGCCCTAGCTTGCCGAACACGTAGAGCGTCGCAGCTCGTCCAAGACTTGTTGCCAGCACGTAGCGATACAAGAGACTGCTCTGGTACAAACACGTTGCGGCACTCCAGCCGAGAAACTGGACAAAGAACTTGTAGTTGTCGTACCCGATGCACCTAAGGACACCGCAAATTCAAGAACACCTCAGCATCTTCCGATAACCCCTCGAAGACCGGACCAAACATCACATCACCGCACACCAATACACACACATTCCCACGCACTTGTTCAGAAAGATGCAGTGGTGGTCCATCTTGAGCACACAGCGTCGACACGTGCTGCAGTGATGCGTTCGGTCGGGTTTCCCAGCGCGACATTTGCGACAAACGCGCGCTGCGCCATTCGCTTTTACTTCGATGAACGCGTCAGAACGTGCAGTCTGTGGCACGACACTCGTCGTCAGTGCCTCTCGTTGCGTCGTGGAAAGCGTCCGACGAGGCAGAAACGAGCGCTGAGACCGCAGCGTCTGTGCGAAGGACCAACTCAAGAGGCCCACGAAGTAGTGGAAGAGAAGCACTTCTGCATGCGATGCACCGCTTGCGAGTATACGGCTCTGGGCAAAGAGGACAAACGACCAGTACAGGTACAAGATGATGCTCAGTATGACGCCTGGCAGCACGTAACGCGCGACTTTGAGCACTGGTCCGTCACAGCAGTAGCTGCTCGAGCAGCTCATTACGCTCGACACGATCGCCGGTGGTCGCTGAAACTTTATATCCTGAGGATAGCGATGTGCGATTTATCAATCGGTTTACGTATTGCACGGAAGTCGATTGAGTTGTCGGCACAGTTGCCATCCTTAGAGGCCGCGGCCACAGAGCAGGTCCTGTGAGGCAATCAGACTACGACTGGCGCGATGTTGAGCTTGGTATAAGTCATTGATACGACGTGTAGCACCACGCCGTATGTAAGATAACGATCGCGCGACGTCAACGTTCTTCGAGGTAAACCGAGTGTTGCAGGTGAGCTTCCAGTATTTATCTTTTATCTGGCTTTGGCAAGAATCGCGTCGCCGATGACTGCAGCGAAAAGAAGGATGAGGAGGGGAGGTCAGGATCGAGGACGAAGGTGAAGAGGAACATGTATGTACAGTGCATGGTCTGGACAACTGATGTGTGCCCAAGCAAGACATTTATATCAGTGCTATCGCCCTTCGCTCGTAGGTAGCAATGGTCTTAATGGGCAAACAAGACCAAATGAATGCTCAAAGAAATATACCCGTCGTCATTATACTGATCGGACCTTACGCGTAGGGATGATAATGTATCAGCTGTACGTGTTGTCAATGGTTTGCAAAGATTTACAATGGATGATGACGTTCACATCGACGGCAAAAGTAAGCCAAGAATAGTAGACGCAGTAGTATGTGTATGCACAGGCATTGTCTTCTGCGTACAATTTGGACGGCTTCATGGTATATAAAATCCGATATTTATGAGAAACGAGCTATAAGAATTAAAGACGTCTACCGAGCGCTGTAAATTCGCAAATGACACCTGTAAATGCGTACAGCACTATACGTCAACTCGCCTTATCCAAATTAGTATTACTTACATGTGTGAATAACAATTTTGTCTTCAGGTTCGATCGATAATTTATCCGGTCAATGAGGCATTTTGAGCAAATTACGCCTAAATCATAAGATAGAAATCGGGTGTATTCGTCGCACCCCGTTGTCTTCGCCATTATGATGTAGCAGCAAAAGAAGACCATTACGCTTCCTTGTGGCTAATTTGATATACTGTTTTTGTTTCGTCACTCATTTACGGCGCCATCCCGGAATTGTTGACTTTTAGTGCAACGTTTCGTCACCCCTTTCTGTTTGTACTACCAATGTTTTTGTATTACACACACGTTTTATCATTATCTCGCAGGCTCGCTTCTTGCACAACCCTATCTCAATTTTTCTCAGTTCGTTTTTAGCACAATTTTAAATTAAATTTGTTCCGGACGAATTGGATCTGCCTGCAAAAAACTGTATTGTACAATGCTTGCATAAGTGTACCCTGTTCGACTTGGCCACTTGCGTCAATCGTTTGCATGGCTTGAAATGGAACATATAGGCGCTCAATCCCTTCGTAAAAGGCTCCTTTAGGATCAACGGATTATCCTTGGTCTCCAACAATCGCATGTTTTGCGGAAGTCAATAAGGGGAATCGCACATGATAGAAGAGTCAAGCAGCGGAGCGTGGCGCCTAGCGCTCGGCTCATAGTTTTGCACAGTATCATTTGGAACAACCAGAATCCTTCATATGCTACCATCATGTTAAACATAGACACAAGAATACAAACTTTGCAAAACACTTTCTTTCATGTCCAATTGATTGAGATTTGATGCACGAAGATTTCAATTAAACTGGTATATTTCACATGTACTTTGTCTTGTTTAATCAACTACTCATTGTCGTAAGGCGGTTTGTCTATTGCTCGCAGGCTCTTCATCTAGCATGTACAAGCGAAAAAAAAATGACGTCATTACATATCGTTTATCTACCAAATATTTGATGGGTCATCGCTTTTCATAAAAAAATTTAACGTACGCAGCATATAAAATTAGACGTCGATGTTGTCAGTTGTATTTGTGCAAAAATGCAGTAAGGGAACATGATAAATATACAGCTCTGTCTGATCTCATCCGTCAGTACGACAACGAGTAAATCTCATTGCCATTACCACAAATTATACAGAAGTCCCAGAACCACTACTATACTTTTGTTAAGTATAAAAACACGCTAAATAGTGCTAACCACATTATTCTTGACTGCAACATGGGACAAGAAACTGCTTGATTACGAACGAGTCTTTCCAAATGATAGACAACTGTCACGCATGGTACCGACCACTCCATTTTCTACCAACGTTCGTTCGCTTATCAAAACTCGCCCACGCGCCGATGTGCTCACTACCAGTGAGCACATTTCATGCGATCCCGGTCCAGTCACACGAACTCGTGATCGTGGGGACGCCGTTGGGACACAGTACCGCTTGCGACCAGTGGCAGCAACAGGTCAGTACTTACTGCTGATGACGATTGTGATGAAAAACGATTGCGTTCTTTCCGTGTACATGCATTGCAGTAAAGGGGCTAGGCAGATATCAAGCTGATGACTGATTCAAGTGGTGTGCATCCGTATAAGCTCGCGACCAGTGGCAGCAACAGGTCAGTACTTACGGTTGATGACGATTTTGTTGATAAACGATTGCGTTCGTGCGTGAATCGCGTTGATAAATGGCTGCAGGAATTTAGTCAGACATATCTGACTAAATTTCTGCAGTAATTGACCAATTACACCTCCGTCAATAATTAAAAACACCTTCTACGAACTCGTGAAGAGTTCATCGTTTTTCCTTTTATTGTTTGGTTATAAATACCACAATGTAATATACTTGCAGCATGGGAACACTGGAAATGCATGGCAGCAACTAAAATTTAGATTATACGTTTGTTTAAAATTTAAAGACGTTGTCGAATCTGGTTGCATTGTGTATTCGATCGATGAGATAATATAAAGATCTTTTTACTGCACCTTCAGTTTAGTATAAATGCAATGTTTCCTCTTGCGTGGCTCCCGTTTTGAGTATTATTGGAAACCTCGGTACTTTTCGTGACTTGTGGCTCTGGAATCATAGAAGCCAACATGTTTCCTAAGTCAATTGGCTGTGCAACAAATGAATGCATCGTCTCTCTCGTCGATCGAATTCGAATGGCGGCGACAAATTCCACTGGTTTGCCCCGCTTGCGTGCACGACCGGCACTTGTACGTAGCTCCAGGTTTTGTATCCCCTGAGCTACCAATACGTATTATTTGTCGTCGCCCAGTGTTCTTGTAGTACGGGGGTGGAAGTATAAATACTGCAGGAGTTTTTGTGCTGGAAACAACACCAATTATCCCCCCTTTAAAGCCTTGCTTAGAGTTCTTCACAATATGTGACGGATGAAAGATGAAGTTACGCCGATTGTGGATCCGAAAGTATGCTACACGGAGACAGTGTGGTGGTAAGGCAATCCCATTTAAACTAAGTTTGAACGTGAACACTTTAATGTTTCAATCTGGACATGTCGATATGTTGCATAGCCTTGATTCGAGGTAAACTATACCCATGAGTAGATCACGACGCTATATAATTGCCCGCAGTCTTTATTTCTATCTTTTAAAGCGCTCGCGCACGAGGATTTGATGTAAGGTCATGAGCTGTCCATTTCTTGATCATATATGATGCGTACAAAATTTGTCTATAGCAGCCTTCGTCGAAAATCTTATTACCTTTAGAGGTGTTGCATGACTAATATCATTGAAAAGGATCGTATTGTTGTTAATCTCAACAAAATTGGTAGTGCGCCATCCGAAAATTGTACATGGTGTCATCGGTGACACGTTATAATCGTGAGGGAGGTTTATTGTGAACGTGTGGGTGGTGTCACCATTGATTCCACTCGAATTAGTGCTTGCCACATGATGACCAGCATCCATCGGCTTATTAACAAAGGCTGTCCAGTACATTAGATCGATCTCTTAGAGGTACGTGGCCACAACGTTTCCTTAATTTGACGACATTGACATGATAACCTCATTGCAGTCAACCTCTGTCTCTATGGACTCCCCTTGTTTCCACACCGCATTCTCAAATTCGCGTCCAGAGCAGCCAAAGTTACGCTTAACATTACTTAATATGTATATCGCGCGGAAACGGATTTGAACACTGATACACGTCCTTATCCACACAATCATCAAGCTTCTTGAATTTTCACGATTGCACATGACAGCGACATTCATGAAATTAATTCCAGAATTGATACGCTAAATGATAAACCACGCAACGTTGTTTTCTTTTTCACTTAAACAATCGCTGATGCAAGCTTGCTGTTTTTTTTGTTTCCATCTTGTATAATTAGAGAAAGTATCACATTATTGTACTTTACATGACGAGAATGGGTGCCATCAAAGCCAACTACCGGGATATCGAAAGGATGGATGTCGACTTAACTCCAACTGCCCCCAAATTCGAAATATAGGTTGTGATGATCGAGGTCAAGTTCCACAGTGCTGCCTGGATTGACGTAAATCGACTCCACCAAGTGTGGGGCAAGGAGCGGGAAAGATGGATTCCACTCTCCTTCCATGTCATAAACCACCGCATCCTTGGCCCTTTTAGTCTTGCTTCGATACAAGGGAAAAATAGTGCCATCACGTGCCTATACAAGCGCATCAATTGACTTATGTTTAATGCCCTTGTCGCCTCAAACAGCGGCATTAAAAGTTGACAGCAGTTGAATTTGCCAAGCTAATGGTTTGGCAATACCCATGCATCAATCGGAGTGGCTATCAATAAACGTAAAAACGTAAAACTAGGGTTTTTCAGCCACCCATTCTCTCTTAGTCATACGTACCTCTCACGGGCATCCATCTATGGAGATACGTATGTCTTACTTCTACCACTAATTTTCTTCACTTTGCAAAGTCAATTTATTTGAAACATTTCGATCCGTCGTTGCTGCAACCGCGTGTATAAAACGCGGTTGCAGCAACGACGGATCGAAACGTTATTCCATACGTCAGACCATTAGTACCGTGAATAGCGCCCGATTCGATCGCCATAGTTTCTCCATACATCTTGATGTTACGTTGTGCAAAATGCCCCTTACACACCATTGAAAAATACAACAATTTGATGAAT